AAGAGAAAGAACAGGACAAAGACCATAATCTTGATAAATAAACTAATATAAATGAAGATCCTACAGAATGTGAACTGTACTCTGAGTCAAACTGATGATGATCCTTGTTTTCCAGTTCACTGGGATTGTCTCTTTGCCAACAGTTAACGCTATGAGTAATAGTTTGGGATTGTGGACATGATCAGTAATTGTTATGGTGTCCCCCAGCAGACAGAGACATGCTGGTAATGGGATGAGACAGCCAATCATGGTGAAAAGTGATCTAGTTACTTGTAGCGAGAGCTGCTGAACAAGGCTGCAGAGCCACAGAGCATGGAGATATGTGTGCATATTTCACATCGAAGCAGAACCATTTCTGGCATTTTTGAGCAGTGCAGTGGACCCGGTGAAGTATTTTATATTGAATAAGCTGAAGGTTAGAGTTTTTTGATATATACCAGATATTTTTACTAATTTGTTGAGTAGGTTCTATAATAAATTGTTCCGAGCTATATTTGGTTTGTAAGACTGCTGTGAAACATGAACAGCGAAACACTGGACGTAGATAACAAAAAGAAAACGTTGTGCATTGCTGTTCGATTCTCTGTGGTCATTCATTCAGCTGATTGTGACATTAGCTTGCAGCGCAGGGGCCCGGCTCCTCGTCCTCTCTGTCACAGCAAACACTTGTCAACACAGAGGACTTTTCAATTGATCCACCCGTGAGCTGATTTAATTACGCCCTTGTTGCAGCCGGGCATGCTCCCACATAATCAGCTCTATATTGCTGAAACAACTCGAAGAGACGACGTCCTCTGATATTAAACCGGAATTTCAAATCATGCCAGACTCATTCCAAAATGGCAAGGATATTTTGGGAACCGCTGTGTGTCATGGAGATCACCACGCTGCACTTTCAAGTTATTCAGTCACAACGTCATTTAGCCAGAATCAACATTAAACAAATTCCTCTGAGAGGCGAGTCATTAGGGTCACATGCACCGAGGAATTTCTTCTTTCACCCTCTGCCATCATGTAGATCAGCAAAGGAGTGGCGCCTGAATCACCTGGGAAGGGATCTAAAGCATTATAAGCAGCTTATTGGTTGTATCGTAGGTCACCGCCTCAAAGAAAAGAGAAAACAATGGATGGTTCCCTCTGGGCTCAAGCTCAGTTTGCCTGCTCCGGACAGGCCTGAAGAAGACTATAAAGAGCTCGGCTCTTCAGATCCAGATTGTGCAGAAATAACTCTTTCGAATTAAAAAGCCTACAGGTAAAGGTCTCACATCCATGCTCTTAGTTGGATGGTTTTAATGTTGAGGCAGTTGAGCATGCAGGATCCCTGACCTCGTAATCTTGCGAGCCACTTTAAACTACGTCTGCAAGCTGCAACAGTTGCATGAGACTTAAAGTGGTTAGCTGTGTCCTTTAAACATTTAAAACACTGTAGACTTGAAAGCATCTTTGCTGCATAGAACTTAAATCTGTGAACTGATGTAATAATTGCATCTCAGGCCTAAGGTCTTCCCCAAGGCAATCGCTGCTCAGAAATCCGATTTTATCAAATAATTTTAATACAAGTGGAAAAGGCCTGAGGGTACACTGGTGAAAACAGGTCCCCCCACCCTGTGTGACACTACAGCAGTAAAGATGCCTGGGGACCTGTCACCATCCACGCCAGTTATAAAGTGACAGACGTGATGGTAATGTTCAGTCTGCGTGTCCTGAGCACACTAACTCTTATGCTACAGTTTTGGAGCGTATTTTTGATGACACTGAGACGTCTTTGATGCCTGATTGCTTTGAGGATACTCATCAGGTTCACTTCAACAATTGTCTGCTTGCATTACAGGAGGACAAAGATTGAACCCTTTTAGTGGGTTTTTAGTGTTTTCCTTGCTCCAAACACAGTAAAATCAATGACATTTTGCCTCCTTTTTGGCCAAAATGAGGGAAGAGAAAGAGCGAGAGACCCAGACAGACTGACAGACAGTCAGTCAGACGAGATTGAAAGCGGCATAGACCAGAGAGCCTTAATATTTTAGATCTAATGCATTATTTATACCCTCGGCAAGTCAGCTGAATCTGCCAGAGTGCTCTTGGGTGAATGGCGAGTTTTCAATTCAGTGCCGCGTGTGTGTCTGCAAGAGTGTGTGTCTGCACGAGTGTGTGTGCGATTGGTGAAGCAGTGGATGAAAGACAAAGATAAAAGCTGGAGCCCAGAGGCCCTCACTGTGAGATCCATCTGCTGGTGGTGTGAAGCTCTGAAGTTCTTTTAGCTCTCAGGTACAGCAACGCTAGGTGGTCGGTGATCATGTGTGTGTGTGCTCATATAAAGTGATGCCCACCAGAGGCCTTTGAGTAAACCACTCACTGGCAGCAAAGCCATGACGGTACATT